TTAATTACTACAAGATGTATTAATTATATTCCAGACAGAACTTACTTGCCAGAGGATACAGGAATTCGAAACACAAGCTACTTCAGATTTAGAATTACGTAACAATAAAATTGAAGAATTAAATAGAGTAAGTAGAATGATTAAAATTTATGTTGTAAAAATGCATTTCTACATACCAAAAATAAATATATTAAATGAAATAAATCTAAGCTATATAGAGTTAGATTAAAATATTATGTTATGGTATTACGTTAGAATATTGCTTTATTAAAATAACAACATGTTTATTAATAATAAAATAATATATTTTATACATTACATTTGAATATAACTAATGCTAATTTACATATTTTATTTTCAGACAACGGATGAACTTAAGCATCAAGTGGCTAATCAACAAAAAGTTATTGAGCAGCACAAATCCCATATAAATAAGTGTATAGACGTTGTAAAGAAATTACTGAAAGAAAAATCAAATATAGAAAAAAAGGAGGCTAGGCAAAAGTGTATGCAAAATAGACTGAGATTGGGTCAATTCGTGACTCAGAGGGTGGGTGCAACATTTCAAGAAAATTGGACGGATGGTTATGCGTTTCAAGAATTAGCACGACGGCAAGAAGAAATTGCGACTGAAAGAGAAGAAATTGACAAGCAAAAAAAGTTGCTTTTCAAAAAGAAGCCATCGAATAGTGAAACTAGTAGAAAACGTAGTCAGCCACAACCATCCTTACACAATGGCACAGAAGCTACATTCTTAAAACCAGATGCAGTACCTGGATCTTACACATGGCAGGAGTATTATGAAGCTGATGAAATACTCAAGGTAATATCTATATTATATTCTTTTAGACATTTATATATTTATTAATTACGACGAAACATCATTATTTATTCATTATGAATGTCTCATGGATTCATGTATGTATTTAATTTTTAGTTAAGACAAAGCGCGTTGAAAAAAGAAGATGCAGATCTGCAACTAGAAATGGAAAAACTCGAGAGAGAAAGAAACTTACACATCAGAGAGTTGAAACGTATTCATAACGAGGACCAATCGAGATTCAACGCACATCCTGTGTTGAACGAACGTTACCTTCTATTAATGTTATTAGGGAAAGGTGGCTTCAGTGAAGTGCATAAGGTACAAAAATGATATTATTTAAAGCAAGTTGTCATAACTATAGATATAATGATTTAATTAATTTTTATACAATTCCTTTTATAGGCATTTGACTTAAAGGAGCAACGGTACGTTGCGTGTAAAGTGCATCAACTGAATAAAGACTGGAAAGAGGACAAGAAAGCTAATTATATTAAGTAAGTGGTATAATACTGTTAACTGTAAATCAAGTCAATTAAAATTGATAGATTTAGCGATTACGAAAGTATTATATTACTGTTTTTATCGAATAGTTATTTAAATTGCACTTCCTATACACAATTTTTGAATACAACAAATCGGGCTCTGTTAAATTAACGTGGAAATTTTTTATACAGACATGCGTTACGAGAATACAATATTCATAAAGCTCTTGATCATCCTCGCGTTGTGAAGTTGTATGATGTGTTTGAAATTGATGCCAATTCCTTTTGTACTGTCTTGGAATATTGTGATGGCCATGATTTAGATTTTTACCTCAAGCAGGTGCGTATATTAGCGTACCATCATTATCATTTAGACATCACTCCTTAGTGTATTGCGACATTTCCTTATGAAGTATTTTCTACCTCAGCATAAAACTATACCTGAAAGAGAAGCAAGATCTATAGTTATGCAAGTTGTGTCTGCATTAAAATACCTCAATGAAATAAAGCCCCCAGTCATACATTACGATTTAAAACCAGGTAAAATTCTTTTTATTGTTAAAAACTATATTTATTTTTAATAGGGAAATAAAAATTTAGCTTTTTTTATCTGTGGTTCTTAATTTTAATAAATTTTGTTATTGCTAATTTTACAGGTAATATATTATTAACTGAAGGCAATGTTTGTGGAGAGATAAAAATTACAGACTTTGGATTAAGTAAAGTAATGGACGAAGAAAACTACAATCCAGACCATGGAATGGATTTAACGTCTCAAGGTGCTGGTACCTACTGGTATGTGTATATTTAGGCATCATTTGAATAAACTTAACAAGAGGTCCAGTGGTTTGCTGACACGATCTACCGGTAGGCCATCGTTTAACGTTCGTGTATGACAAAATGCCTTTTCTGTGGATCATGATGAAGAAAGTTTATGGAGAGAATATAAAGAGACACATTATAATATATGTACTACGTTGATTACCGCGTCATTTATAAGGTGTCAAGTGCGTGAAATCTTTGAAGGTGTGATTCTACAAGTCAATTTAAGAAGAAAGTTAAAAAAATGTTGGCTTTGTTTTAAATTGTTAGCGATTAAAACTGTTTTTGATTCACTAATAATGGCGTGCGTATGTCAAATTAAGATCAATGCGAGAACGCTGCAAGAAACATAAAGTTGATTCAAGTGTCGTTATTGGTTAACTTTAATTGTTAATAACTGGAAAATAAAGCCAAAATCGTGAATCTCTACAGTAATTTTTGTATTTTTGATTTTCATTTTGACGTGATGAATGATTCCTGAAATTTTCTTCCACCTGTTGCTTAATATTCTTTATACAGGTGGTTATATTATACAGTTATTTATTCAGATTTAAAAATTATTTGGTATTAAATTCGGTTCAGACCTGCAAGAACATTGAAAAAGAATTGTTAATATTTTCCAATTTTTATTTTATTACATAAATTGCTTTGTTCTTGGAAAATTTTGTCTAAATATATGTTTTGTGACAAGTATACATTTATTTTGTTCAGATGATTCATATTTTCGTACTAAAAACTTTTGTTTACTACAGTTTTACAGCGATGGATTTTGTTAACGTTAATAGTTTAAGATAATTGAAGATGTAATAATTAATCAATTG